CTGCCTGCATCTTACACCCTGCTGTTATGTGCTGTACTGTCTCAGGGGCCTCCTTGAACAGTCTAGGGTCCTGCCTGGTGTGGTAGACCCCCGCCTCTATTGATCTTGTACTGAGTGCCTGTTCTTGTGCCGCCATGATTAGTGCTTCTGTGCTGTCCTTCAGTCCAGCCTTTTCCAGCCACTGGTAGGATTTCTTGATATCAGCCACTTCTTCTATTTGACTGTGCTACATGCTGTGCAGCGGCTTGTCTCTCCATGAAGGTTCTTCATCTTCCTCGTCCTCATCCTAGTGTTTCTGCTGCCTGAGGTATTCACTAAGCCCTTCATCTTTGGGGGCCATCTTCCTGATGTATGCTTGGATCTTTGTCATTTCATCCTGTACAGTGGTCTCGACACTCACTAGCTTGGTGTACAATCTCAGGGTGCTGGATTTGGGATGAAACCCTCCATGCATTGTGAGGGGCTCTCTTGTCTTTATGTCAGTAGCTTCTATCTCCTCATTTGGCCAGTTTATTATACCAGTGGGGTATCTGATGACTGGCATTGCGTATGTATTGATGGCTCGGATCTTGTTTTTCCCATTCAGCTGACTTTTCAGAACCTGCCTTACTCTCTGTAGGTATTTGGCTGTGGCGGACTTCCTTGCTGCCTTCTCATGGTTTCCGTTACACACCAAGGTATTTGTAGCTGTCCTGAACATCTGCAATGTGGCTTTCTGGTAGTTCAGTCCCGTCAGTTCTGATCATCTTCCCTCTTTTTGATACCATGCGACCACACTTGTCCAGTCCGAACGATATTCCAGTGCTGTTGCTGTAGATCCTGGTTGTGTGGATCAGTGAGCCGATGTCTCGCTCATTTCTGGCATACAGCTTGATGTCATCCATGTAGAGGAGGTGACTGATGGTTGTTCCACTTCGGAACCTGTATCCGTAGCCAGTCTTTGTGATGATCTGGCTGAGGGGTTTCAGGCTTATGCAGAACAGCAGCACTTAATGATGACTTGTGCAATTGGCTTTGATTTGGCTTCCAGACTTGTTTTCCACAGCCCCATTGAGTTCTTGATGAAGGCTATTAGTGTCCTGTTGATCTTGTACATTTCCAAGTGTGGCAGGTCGAGGGTTTTTCTCCCTCTCACCACTATATGGCACTGCACTGGTGCCCTGACAACCGGATGCCGCTGCCGTGGCCTATAAGTACAGGTGAGTATGCACCTGTCTCGGGCTCTCTCTTACCTGGGTTGGGCGTCTCAACTGTTGGCGACGGTGGTCCAGCGTTGTGGTGTGCTGATGCGAGTGCTGTCACGGCTGTCATGGCCTGTGGCGCAACAGTTTAGCTGATGGTTAACAGCTGAATTTGGGATTTTCATTAGTTGTCAGTTTTAGTCATCACAATTAAATGAAATAAACATTTGAAATATATCAGTCTGTGTGTAATGAATGAATATAATATCCAAGTTTCACTTTTTGAATGGAATTACTGAAATAAATCAACTTTTTGATGATGTTCTAATTATATGACCAGCACCTGTAGAATCAGACCCTCGTCTTGCCACACAAGCATTCCAGTATCCATGTATGTGGCATTGAGTTGTAGGCTTTCTTATAATCAATCCAGGCGGTGCACAGATTGGTCTGCCTGGTCTTGGAGTCTCGAGTGACTGCTCTGTCAACCAGTAGCTGGTGCTTGGCTCCCTTGGTATTACTGCCGACTCCCTTCTGGGCCCTGTACATGTATTGAACCATGTGCCTACTTATCTTAGCCGCTATGATGCCTGACAGGAGCTTCCATGTTGTGCAGAGGCAGGTTATTGGCCGGTAGTTGGATGGGTTTGTTCACTTCTGGGGATCCTTCATGATCCTTGGGTTAACCATTCTGGGTAGATCCCATCCATCAGCAGTTGGTTCATTTGTGCTGCCAGCCGTTCATGGAGAGCAGTTAGTTTCTTCAGCCACTAGGTGTGGATCATGTCAGGGCCTGGTGCTGTCCATCTCTTGGTACCTGCCTCTTTAGGCAGGTAGCCAGAGCGGTAAGTCTTTGTTTGGCAGTTTCGAGAGCCTCAGGTATCGACAGCTTGTTGTATTTCTTAGGTAGCCCCTTCTTTGCACCTTTCTGTAGCTCAGAGAGCTGACTAACCTCTCTTCGTGTTGCCTTGATCTTGGCCTCTAGCCTTCTGCTCCATGGGGGGTAATGCTCTGTGTGGCTTGTGGTGTTCATCTTAAAGCCAAGAATCTCTAGAGCTGCGTTTCGACCAGAGGAACTATACCCCGGAACTAAGAACCTTTGGAGGAACTCACTCCGTTCCCACCAGAGGGACCAGGGTCTAAATGTAGTTCTATGGTCTTCATTTTACCCCCTAAAAAGACCCTGCTCGGGGGTAGTACCTTCCAAAAGTACCGGTACTTTGGGGGGGTGGGGCTGTAGTGCTGAACATTTCTGACTGGTCGGGTAGAGGCTCGCACAGAAGGTTTGGAACCACTATTTCTAAAAGTCTGTGGCCATCGTAATTTGTCATTATTTGTGACTGAAGTACTGATAACAGAAGATGGAGAAGAAATCAGCCGACCGATGTCTAGGCCTTACTGAGTATTTATGCCGAGGACGAAATCCAGCGGGAATTAGAAATGGCGATTTGCAATGATAAAGTGTATGCAAAAATATCCAGCATGCTACGCTAGCTTAACATTATTCACACGGGGAAAGCTAAAAAAACTGAAACAGGACTACAAGAAAATCAAGGACCACAACAACAGAAGTGGCTCTGACTGGTGGACCAGCAAGTGGTTTGACCGTCTGGATGCATTGCTTGGTCACAGGCCAGCCTTCTCTGACACCGCCGCAACAATAGACTTGGCTACTGCCTTGCTGGAAACCCTCGAAGACAGAGAAATGGACAACGTGTCTACTGAAGGTACGTCTCATAATGTTTCACATGAGGCATGTTAAATGCTGTAACGTTTTACAGTCACGGTAAATTGTATAAGTTAACACTATGTAATTGTTCCCCTAGCCAAAAGCAAACGTTGGCCACATGTCCATTAGCCTACATGCTAACAACAAACCCTAGCGGTGTTGAATCGTGGTGTTCGTCACAAACGTTAATGTTTATTTTTGTTTTTCTGTTGAAACAGACGGGCACACTGAACCACAGCCGGCAGAGATTAGCGTATTTTCCCCTGCGACCACCAGCAGCCATTGTCCCATGTATCCTGCAGACAAACCCCAAGACGTTTCCACAGTCTGTGTTGGTTTGGGGAGCCATGTCATCTGCTGGTGTTGGTCCACTGTGCTTTATTAAGTCCAGAGTCAGCGCAGCCGTCTACCAGGACATTTTAGAGCACTTTATGCTTCCTTCAGCAGACGAGCTTTATGGAGATGCTGACTTCATTTTCCAGCAGGACTTGGCACCTGCCCACACTGCCAAAAGTACCAAAACCTGGTTCAGTGACCATGGGATTACTGTGCTTGATTAGCCAGCAAACTGGCCTGACCTGAACCCCATAGAGAATCTATGGGGCATTGCCAAGAGAAAGATGAAAGACATGAGAGCGAACAATGCAGAAGAGCTGAAAGCTGCTATTGAAGCATCCTGGTCTTCCATAACACCTCAGCAGTGCCACAGGCTGATAGCATCCATGCCACGCCGCATTGAGGCAGTAATTCATGCAAAAGGGGCCCAAACCAAGTACTGAGTACATATGCATGATTATACTTCTCAAAGGGCTGACATTTCTGTATTTAAAATACTTTTTTTTTTATTGATTTCATGTAATTTTCTGAGATTTTGAATTTGAGGTTTTCATAAGCTGGATGCAATAATCATTGAAAATATATCAAATAAAGGCTTGAAATATCTCACTTTGCATGTAATGAGTCTATATAATATATTTAGTTTCACCTTTTAAGTTGAATTACTGAAATAAATGAACTTTTGCACGATATGCTAATTGTTCGAGTTTCACCTGTAGCAAAGTCATGTCATTTCTTCAGTGTTGCCACATGAAAAGACATAATCAAATATCTACAAAAATTTGAGGGGTGTACTCACTTTCATGCAAAACTGTATCTACACGCCATCTACTGAAAACAGGCGGTAAGTACTGTGTGACACTCGTGATTTGAAAGAATTGTGTGTTCCCAACTTGACGTACTGGGATATAATGTGTAATTTACAGGTGTTCTCTAGCACCACATTGGGGACACAGAAAGTGACATTTAACTCTTTCATGCAGCGTCCGAAGTGCATGAAAATTCTTAGTCTCATTGGTCGATGGCAATTGTACGCGTGTCGCGGTGAGAGGGCCCATCCAATGTTGCTTGCAGCTTTAATGTTGAAATTGTTTTTTAAAATGGTTATTTATGTTTCCTACCACTTTAGAATGTAATTTATTTAATAAAGTCTTACCTTAAGTAAAGAAGGTCAGACAATGCCTGTGGGTTTAGGCCATCAACAGGTTGATTTTGTTGCTCACACATTTGCAGTTGTAGATGTTGTAGGAGCCCATTACTTTTGATTAAAAGTAAAGCAGTGTTTTGTTGGTCATTGTGTGTAGAACTTCAAACTGCATTTTTATGAACGCAGTGAAAGTTCAACTTGATGTGTTGTTGACGTGTTGTACTATGATTAGTTCACATGCAGGTCAGGTTGCACCAAGTTTAAGGAGACAGAAAAATGTAAAGAGAAAACAAACCGATAAATAAAGTTCAGCACCTATGGGTTCACGGCCTCCAGAGTTTGGTGAAGTTGTTCACATGATAACAGCTCTTGGTGGAAGATTTAATGAGCTCCATGGAGGGTGAAGAAAAGTCATAAAATATTTGGTCCGACATTCAGAACTCTGAGGATGAACACACACCAAGTGCAGTTTAAGGTCAAGTATCAAAGAAAAACACGTACTGTGTTAATGTAATCTTCAAATTAAGAATTCTTGTCTCAGTTTATTCATCTGTGCTTGTTATAATTCCGGTGTTATTTATTAATGGTTTAATTTGTGACATTCTTCATGGATGATGAATTCAATGTAACATATATAACTCTCATTGGATATGAGGAAATGGGAAAATACAGGTATTTGTTATTTTTTATTATGTTTATAGTATATATTCTAACAATCTGCTTTAGTTTCATCATTGTGTGCATTATTTGGATACACAAGAACCTCCATGAGCCTATGTACATTTTCATTGCAGCGCTACTAGTGAACTCTATTGCTTGTTGCACTACTCTGTACCCAAAGTTGTTAGTGAACTTTTTATCTGAAAAACAGATTATATCATATTCAGCCTGTCTCTTGCAATGTTTTCTATATTACACCTTTTGTGCTTCAGATTTCTTCCTGTTGGCAGCCATGGCCTATGACAGATATGTGTCTATATGTAAACCTCTGCAATATCCAGTTATCATGACAAAAACCATAGTGAGTATTATGCTGGGTTTAGCTTGGCTTGTGCCTGCTTGCCAGGTTGCAGTCCCAATAATACTAAGTGCTAATGTGAAGCTCTGTCATTTAACTTTAGATGCAATTTTTTGTAACAATTCAATTTACAGTCTCTACTGTGTGCCTTCAAAAGAACGGTCTATATTTGATATGTTTTCTCTTGTAAGCATGGCACTTCTCCCTTTGCTCTTCATACTTTTTACATACACCAGAATACTTATAATTTCCTATCGAAGTGGTAGAGAAGTCAGAAAAAAAGCTGCACAGACCTGTTTACCTCACCTGTTGGTTTTAATCTGCTTTTCCTGTTTGTGTGGATATGATATCATTGTAATACATCTGGAAGTGCGATCTGATATCCATTCAATAATGACTTTACAAGCATTTTTGTATTATCCTCTCTTCAATTCAGTTATATATGGACTAAAAATGAAAGAAATTACTAAACCCCTAAAGAAGTTTTTTTGTCGAACCAAAGCGATCTAATGTATTAAAAGTGATGTTACAGTAATAGTGATGTTAGTGATGGAAATGTGCAGTCTCTTCCTTAATAATGCAGAGATGCTAATGTTGAGATCTTTGAGTTGCTTCCATGCTGTATAAAACAGCTACACAATTTGTCATGGAAACAATAACTTTGAGTAGTCATTACATTGTTCTATTTGCTGCAGTTATTAAAAAATATGTTTAGTTTATGTCAGCTGCAGCTTTGTTAGTCATTCACAAGCTTTTCAGACGTCTGAAGAAGAAGCATGTCACTTTGAATGGCCCATTTGTGTGGCCATTTTGTTTAATATGTGCATTGACTACACAGGCCAATGTGTACAGTCCACACTGAGAGCAAAGGAAAACCAGCAAATCAGCAAAAATAAGAAATAACGGTACTTGTCCAGGAATAAGCAGAATCCCATTAATAGAGAATAAATAATAATTGAAATAAAGTAATGGGAGGCATAGATCATGTTTTTTTCTGCTTTAACGGGCAGGCAACCTAGCTGCTGTGGTAGCCATAAATAATACATGTTTTTCATGAATGGACAGATTAAACAAATAACTGTTGTGAAGTAGTAAAACTGACTGTGAGTATGTGACAATTCATATCATATGTATACAGGAGCCCTATGTATCAAATTGACAGACAGTGCAGAGACTGGGGAACATTTGGCCTACATGAGAAATAGGCTATGGAGTTGTACAACATTTTTAATTTGGGGGTTGAATGAAGAAGACATACTTTAGATGAGACTGAGATACTATTCCTGACTGACTGTCAGTTCAGACCTGCTTCGGAGAGCTAGATGTCATTTGTCCAAACATTGTTCAAAGAAAGAGGCATAGAAAAAGCCTGAATTAAAACTGAATAAAGTCATTTATGCGTACAGACAAAAAAAAGCAAACAAGCTTGACATGGTAAACATAAACATTAACCAACTATGTGTCACACTGTGGGCGTGTCTGCTCTGTTTTGGTTCCCAGTCGGTCTTATTTGTAGTCTTTTATTATCTAAATAGTAAAGTCTTATAGTATGTTGAGTTTTGGGTTCTGTCCTGTATATTGCCCTGTCTCCAGTATCTGTTATATAGTTAGTCTTTGTTTTGGGATTCAGTCATGTCTTGTGTACTCTGTACTCTGTGTTCTGGCTCTGTGTTCTCATTGGGTTTTGTCTGTTATGATCCTTGTGTTATAGTTGGTCGGTGTTTGTCTGTTTACATAAGTTTCTGTTATTGTCTGAAGTTGGATTCTTGTCTGGTATTTTGTAACATGTATTCTGTCAGTGTTGGTTATGTATCTTGCCCCATGTCTGCCTGTAAAGTGTTCCGTCTGTTTGCCCAGTTATCACTCTGCCTGCCTGCCTCTCTGTTCCCCTTTGCTGTCTCTGCCTGCCTGCCTTTCTGTTGCCCCCTGTTGTCTCTGCCTGCCTCTCTGTTTTCCCTACTGTCTCCCTGCCTGCCTCGTTAACCTTTGTCCCTGTCACCTGTGTTGCTCCCGCCCTGCTCATTAGTCCCTGTGTGTGTGTGTGTATATATACCTGGTGTTTCTGTTTAGTCTTTGTCTGGTCATTACAGTGTGTTGTCCTGTTTAGCTTGCCTTGCTTGTCTTGTCACCCTGTTGTTTTAGATTGTGGATTTCTGTTTGGATTACCTTGTTTTGGACTTTGTTTTATCAGCCACTCTGATTTGTAAGTGTGCTCGCCTTTTGTTGCATTTGGGTCCAACAACCTGCTCACCACACAGACCCTGACAGAGTGACCAGACCACATTTGGACCCAGCAGACATTATCAAACTGCCCAGCACCTGGGAGGCTTTGGTGGTGCCCAGAGAGGTGCTGGCAGACGAGGAGCCTCAGTTTTTTCGGTTGCTTTCTACCATGTGGGGCACGGATTCGGAAATGGCCTTGCTCGTGGCCTCTTCAAGATGGAGAAAAAGTTTCGCTCTGGAGACTGTGTCAAAGTTCTGCTCTGCAACCCCCCTGTGTGCTAGAGCTCAGCCTGTTACCTCAGTGCCAGCTAACAGGCTGCCAGCTAGCACCAGGCCGCCCGATCCCCAGCCTACTAGCTGCCGGCTGGAGACTCAGCCAGCTCACACCAAGCCTGACCCCTGGCCTGTGAGTACTGAGCACCAGTCTGCCAGCCCCCAGTCAGCTAGCCTCCACAGGTCTAGTTCCCGGCCTGCTAGCTGCCTACTGGGAAGCATCCTCTTGTCCTGCCCGGCTAGTGCTGCTAGCCCTCCGCCTGTCCTGCCTGTAACCTGCCCGGCTTGCGCTGCTAGCCCTGGTGGGAGGCTTCTTCCTCCCGGCCTGCTAGTCCCAAACCAGTCGGCCAGCTAGCCCCATGCCTGCCCTGCCTGATTCCCGGCCAGCTAGCGCTTGATCCACATGATCCAGACCACCAGCATTCATTTGAGAGGACTCGCCTGGTCATCTTCCCTGGTGGCCATAGGAGGAGAAGTGGTCATCACGGTTCCTGTCACCAGCAGTCTCAACCAGCACCAGCTTCGCCAGAGGTCGGACCCATTCCCGTCCCTGGTCCCTCGTTGGTGGTCCGACCAGCACCAGCTCCATTGGCGGCCCAGCCAACTCCTGTTCCTTGTGCCCCTTCGGTGGTCCGACAACACCAGCTCCATTGGTGGTCCCGCCAACTCCTTGCTTCCTGTTCTCCATCGGTGGTCCGACCGGTAACAACTCCGCCGGTGGTCCAGCTGACTCCTGCTCCTCGTTCCCTGTTGGTGGTCCGATCGGTACCAGTCCCGCCGGTGGTCCAGCCAACTCCTGCTCCCTGTGCTCAACCCTCGGACCTCAGCCCAGCTGTCTCGCCGGTGGTCATCAGCCCAGCAGCTCAGTCCGTGGACCTCTGCCCAGCCATCCAGTCCATGGACATCTACCCCATTGTCCATTTGCCGGCCTTCAGTCCAGCTCTGCTGCTTGAGGTTCCAGGCCTCCTAGGATGAGGTCAAGTCACATTTTTTTTGGAACAGTAGGGTAAGTTTGGTTGCGGTCGGGTATTAAAACGCATTCAATCCATCATAAATACAACGTGAAGACATCATACCCGACAGGACACAGGGACAACCCTAACCCCTAACCAGACCAAGCCTGTTCTCATACAGATTCCGGTTCCAAAACCACGCCACAATACATAAAGGCAGCACCAAGTAAAAAGGTCTGTAGAACAGAGCCATCATATTAGTGCACACATAAAAATAGTAATTTTTCCTAAAGGAGTAATTATGTTGTTGTAGCTTTTTAGAAATGGCATCTGCATTAGCCTGAAATCACAACCTTTATCAAACATACTACCCAAATATGTTATGATTTAAGGATTTTGGTCTTGTTTTAGTTCCCTGTCTGTGTTTTGAGTTCTACTGTTTTGCCTTGTTTATTCTTGTGAAGATTTTGTGATGGTTCTCATTCTGTTTTCTTGTCTTACTACTTAGTCCTGCATTTTAGTTCTGTGTCTTAGTGTTTACTCATGGTCTCTGTACTTCTGTGTTGTTATTTTGCCTATGCCTGCTTTGTGTTCTGTTTGATCCTAGTTCGGTCTGTTTCCCTTGTTACGTTTGTAGTCTATCTGTATGATTAGTTTTTAGCCTGGTCTGTGTTCCAGCTCCAGTTTGTATTCTGCATTTTGGTTTGGTCTTGGTCTGTTGTCGCCTGCTTTACTTCCTGGTTTATTTTGAAGTTGTCTGTTTCTAGTGTTTGTGTTTAGCTTGTCCCTGTGTCTGATTAGTCCCTCTTATGTCTTTCACCTGTTGACCACCTCCCTGCTCGTTACTTAATGCCTGTGTCATTCTGTCTGTGTTGGATTATTGTGGTCTGTCTCTTGCGTTCTGTGATCCTACCCTGTGTATCTCCCTGTGTTTGGATGTATGTACTCCGTGCCTTTGGTTTTTGTTCCGGACTCGGCCACTGCCTGTAAGTGTGCTCGCTTAGATTTAATAAATCACTGAACTCTGCCTGCTCAGCTCTGGTGTCTTACGTTTGGGTCCTCAACTTGCTCACACATACTGCAGCCCCCTAACAAAATATGTGGTTATCCACCAAATCAATCTTAGTTAAGTTTTGGGATGGGTGCCGATTTCCTAAAATCAATAATCATGTCCTTGGTTTTGCACATATTCAGTTCAAGGGCTCTAGGAGTCTTTACACTATGACACAAAGTAATTGATTATTAGCCCATGATCTAGTCCCCCCTCCCATTCCGCGGGCTAACTATGATGGAGTCATCTGCAAAACTTTATATGTCTATTCTCAAACTTGCTCTGACAGCTATTTGGGTAGAGAATATAAAGATGGGTAGAGAGAGCGTGTCCTTGGGGTGAACCAGTAGATGAGTGGAGTTTAAATGAGAGGTCACCATTAACTCTTACACACAGTTCAGCAGCTTCAGGGTGGTATCCTAAACACCTCTGCCGTTCTATAAGCAAACTGCAGGGGATCTTAAGAACCCTGTACCTGCTTCTGAGTGCTTCTCTAGTGCTACAGGTCTAAAATCATTTAAGGACTTTGGGTTTATACATTTGGTGACAGGGACAATAATTGAGTGTTTCCAGATTGCTGGTATCTTTTATAGCTCCAGAGATTCCATAAAAATAATGTCAAAAATACTGCAAAGCTCCTCTAAACAGGTTTTAAGCACCTTTCCACAGATTACATCAGGGCCCAGGTTCTTTCTGCTATGGGTGTGCCTAAACAATTTTGCAACAGTGTCAACATCCATGGTAATTTGGACCTAACCTAGTCCTGCTCCTCAGCTCATCTGTCTGCTCTGTAAAATCGTGTTTATCAAACCAAAATTATAACTCATTTAACTGTCAGCTACTTGGGTATCAGAGTTAAAGCCATCAAGACTAACTGCCTTATTATTCCACATCTAATAACACCTGGGCATTTTCTTTTAGCTCTTGGGTTATTTCTTCTAAATTTTGTCTCTATATTGTCTTTCTAATTAACTGTAGCTTTCTTAGTTTCAGCCCTTACCTCTTTTTTTTTTTACCTTTGTTACATCACTTCTCTTAAAAGCTTTCCTTTGACGTCAGTGTGAAGTTAAATCGTAGTTCTAATTGGAGTATCAATTTAAACCCAAACTATAATCTTCCCTTAAACCTAACAAAGTCGTATTTTTGCCTAAACAAATCCAAATCTGAAAGGAAACCTATTATGCTTTTCCGTATTTTATGACTTTTCTACAATGATGACGATGATAATGAGGTTAAGTAGAAATCCCTGTGAGCCAAAACCTCAGATTAACTCCTGTTCTGAACGCTCTGTTTAAAAGCTTTTTCTACCAACAGCTCTGAGGTATATTCCATAAATGATCATTTGTACCGCTCAGCGACAACAACAGCCTGGTAACATGCTTCAGGTCAGGGGGGGGTTCAAAGAGACAGGAGCGTCTACAGCTTGTTTCAGACAGAGGCTGAAACGAAGGCCTACATGAAGGGCCTGTATAAGACAGAAAATTATATTTTTGAACTTTAAATCATGCAAAGCTGCCATACAGGAGTCACAGGAGTCCTTTAACCACAGCTGTGTCACTTATAAAACGGATTAATTTTCCAACTGTAATTTGAAACTGCTTTGGAAGGTACAAATAAATAATATTGCCCTGCTGATAGGGGTGTCGGATAGAAAAACCCTTCAATGTGGCGTTCCGGACTGCATTGGCCTGCAACTAATTTTGATATTTAATGTGAATAGCTTGTTATCTGCACATAAATATTTGCACAGCTTCCTACACATTGCACTAATGATGTTCATGGCATAAGCATTGTAATATACACTCACCGGCCATTTTATTAGGTACATCTTGCTAGTACCAGGTTGGACCCCCTTCTGCCTTCAGAACTGCCGTCTTCGTTGCATACTTTAAGCAAGGTGTTTAAATTTCTCAGAGACTTTGGTCCATATCGACATGATAGCATCATGCAGTTGCTGCAGATTTGACACATCTCCCGTTCCACCACGTCCCAGAGTGCACTATTGGATTGAGATTTGTTGACTGTGGAGGCCTTTTGAGTACAGTGAATTCATTGTGATGTTCAAGAAACCAGTTTCAGATTTGAGCTTTGTGACATGGTGAATTATCCTGCTGGAAGTAGCCATCAGAAGTTAGGTACACTGTGGTCATAAAGGGATGGACATGGTCAGCAACACCACTCAGGTAGGTTGTTGTGATTAAACAATGCTCAATTGGTACTAAGGGGCCCAAAGCGTGCCAAGAAAATATCCCCCACATCATTACACCACCACCAGAGTGAAGTGCTCATCTGCTTCAAGGTTGGACGTGTTGTGCATTCAGAGATAGTATTCTGCATACCTTGGTTGTAACAAGTGGGTATTTGAGTAACTGTTGCCTTTCTGTCATCTTGAACTAGTCTGCCCATTCTCCTCTGATCTCTGACATCAACAAGCCATTTTCATCCACACAACTCCTAGAGATGGATGTGAGTGAAAATCCCAGTAGATCAGCAGTTTCTGAAATACAACCATGCCACATTCAAAGTAATTTAAATCCCCTTTCGTCCCCATTCTGATGCAAGCAAGTTCTCTTGACCACGTCTAAATGCATTGAGTTTTTGCTGTGATTGGCTGATTATTGATTATTTGTGTTAACAAGCAATTGAACAGGTGTACCTAATAATAAAGTGGCGGAGAGTGTATATGAGTGTATAATATCATTTACTTGATTTATTTGAAATAGATCTTTATCTGTTTCCATCCTCTTCAGAGTGTTTGTTGTACCCCAGAAACGTGAATTAATAAAGTGTTATCTTCACAACAATGCCTGTGTCTTCAGGCCTCCAGAGTTTGACACAGAAGAAAGTTAAAAGAAATTACATCATGTAAACAAATTTCAACACCTATGGGCTCAGGCCTCCAGAGTTTGGTGAAGTTGTTCATATGATAACAGCTCTTGGTGGAAGATTTAATGAGCTCCATGGAGGGTGAAGAAAAGTCATAAAATATTTGGTCCGACTTTCAGAACTCTGAGGATGAACACACACCAAGTGCAGTTTAAGGTCAAGTATCAAAGACAAATACATGTACTGTGTTAATGTAATCTTCATATTAAGAATTCTCCGTTTATCCGTTTATTCACCTGTGCTTGTTGTAATTTCTGTGTTATTCATTAATAGTTTAATTTATGATATTATTAATGGATGATGAATTCAATGTAACATATATAACTCTTGTTGGGTATGAGGAATTGGACACATACAGGTATTTTTTTGTTTCTATTATGTTTATAGTATGTATTTTAACAGTCTTCTTTAGTCTCATCATTGTGTGCCTTATTTGGATACACAAAAACCTCCATGAGCCTATGTACATTTTCATTGCAGCGCTGCTAGTGAACTCTATTGCTTTTTGCACTGCTATGTACCCAGAGTTGTTAATGAACTTTTTATCTGAAAAACAGATCATATCATACTCAGCCTGTCTCTTGCAATGTTTTCTTTTTTACACCATATGTGCTTCAGATTCCTTCCTGTTGGCAGCCATGGCCTATGACAGATATGTGTCTATATGTAAACCTCTGCAATATCCAATTATCATGACAAAAACCATAGTGAGTATTATGCTGGGTTTAGCTTGGCTTGTGCCTGCTTGTCAGGTTGCAGTCCCAATAATACTAAGTGCTAATATGAAGATCTGTCATGTCATTTTAAATGCAGTTTTTTGTAACAATTCAATTTTCGGTCTTTACTGTGGGACTTCAAAAGCACGGGATATATTAGTAATTATTGCTCTTGTAAGCATGGCAGTTTGTCCTTTACTCTTCATACTTTTTACATACACTAGAATACTTGTAATAGCCTATCGAAGTTGTAAAGAAGTCAGGAAAAAAGCTGCACAGACCTGTTTACCACATGTGATAGTTTTATTTTCTTTTTCTTGTTTGTGTGCATATGATATCATAACAGATCAACTGGATCTGCAATCTCAT